CTAATGAGCAGAAACTCACATATGTCAACAGAGGGTTCAAAACTCAAAATGAAGACAAACTATTTACACGGTAGTGGAGAACTTCTTGCCTGCTTTTATCAGTGATTTCCTTGTTCTTCTGCAGTTAAATACAGCTCATTAAGCCAGTTTAATACTAATTTTCAAATCACGACAGTCCAGATAGTTTAAAAAAAGTATTACTAGCATTTAGAGTAAAGCTTTTCTATCGAACTATGTCACTGTTTTTCTTTATCTTTGAGGAAGGTGTGGTGACACCCGAACATGAATAACTGACAGTAAGTGTTTCAACATCTATCTGACAACATTTTTAAAAACAGTTTTGTGCAGACGTGAACAGACTGTCAGCTGCTACTGTTTTATGTAGCTGTACAAAACCTGAAGCTCTTTGCTTTTACAAGGCTGGAGGATCTTTTTTTTTTTCCACTCCTTGTTTAGGTACTTTCTCTGCTCTGAGCAATCTTAAAAGTGCATCCTTTTCTATTGTAAACAATGAGCAAAGGAACCGAGCACTTTGAAAAGATGTTCTTAGAGAGCACTCATCCCTGTGCTGGTTTTCTCTCTGTGACAAGGATAGAGTATCTCTCACTGGATAAAGTTTTCTCATTTTCTTTATGCATATTTCAGCAGCGCTACTTTTTGAAATCAACTTCAAGTTTACATGGCGTTCGACCTCTGTCGACGTCTGCGAGCTTTGTTGTGCAAATTCTGTCTAATGACCAAAACTTCCAAAAGGTATACGGTGCCACAAACAACTAGTCTGAATTCTTCGGATAATTTAAAAGTGATGTACACCTGCGACACAACAAGCTTCACAAAATGAAGCAGTTTTGTGTGCCGTCAACCTCTGGGAACATTTCGAGTCCACTAAAGATCCTCTTGCACCCTGCAGATATGGTTTTACTTCCTGTCACAGACCCTTGTTACACACATACAGGCTTAGACTTTGGTTACAAAGGCTTTGTGTGCGTCTTTTCAAGTGGCAACAACAGCTAAAAATGAATTGTGAACATAGTTCGGATATATTTTGCACAGACGAGTCAAAACATATGCAGTAGTGTAGATAGGTCTGCCTGCTACCTATTCTCCAAACAACTGAGGGGGACAAAGTCAAACTCTTTAATGGGATATTTAGCTCGCAGCAAGACAGATTTAGCCAGTAAACAGAACAACTTCAAGAGCAGGCAATCCACAACGGAGCGCAGAAGACTTTCTCACCGTGTTCACAAGGATCCAAATAAAAATTAAAATACCAAGGGCTCCATGGTGAGAGTGTATGTCTGTTATAGAGCAGGTTATAAATCATGCATGATCGCCTTTCTTCCCCGCTCTGAGACTGATGCTAACTGACGTGCACTTCTGTATCATAAACAGTAGCTCTCTCTGGTGGGAGCTGATTGTGTGAAAGCAGCTTAGGAAGATGAAGCCGGTAGCTGGGAGGGTGAAATTGTGATTCCATACAGCGTGGCGGGTTTTGTGAGGAGAGACGTCTGCTTCAGAGCAAACAAGACACGATAGTGCCGCTGGATTCTCGGCAGAATAGCGTCTGTCTACCGGGAACTGAGCGCACTTTAAATTTTAACCAGTCTTTCTCAAATCAAGACGTAGTTCCTGCACAGTCCCCTCAGAAACGCATCCAAACCCACACATGTTAGTGCTGATATTTATACTTTGAATTCTGGATGTTTAGCTGCTGTTGATTTTCCCGAGCTGAAGCTTGGCAGCGAGTGGGAGTAGCTGCAGCAGGATTTGACATTTCTGTTAGAGGACAGTCTGTCTCCAAGAAACTGCAGATCACCTTGACACTAAAAGTCTTGTGTGAATCACTGTCATTTACTGTCAAAAGAACAAAGTGAACTGAACTGAAGCCTGAGAGACGGAGCTCTGTTTTGGTCTCTCACTCTTTTGGAAGCTTGATGCTTTAGATGCCTTATGTAAAGGCAGTAGGTTCGGTGGTGAATGAAGCTGTATATCAAACCTGGGTATATTGTTTTATAAGAAATAACTCTCATGTCAATGCACCTAAATAATTTAAATTTATTCTTTGAAGTATTTCTTCCGGATTTCTGGATTTGGATATTGCTTGGAGTCACCTCTGCATGTGGGCCTTTTGATTTCTTACCATTCCAGTTATTAATTCATTTCCTTCTTAGCTCAGACTTTTCTTTGCGTCAGCTTGTTGATCATGAGATAATTTATAGTCAGATGCTTTACGTAACGGGTCAAGTCATCTGCTCTTTTTGAGAATGTTGCAAAGTTTTGATGTTGGGATGACGGTGATGGAAAGCTTTTATTCTTTTACTGAGTCAGTGCTTTCATTTTCTGTGATTTTGTGGTTTGGTCTAAAAAGCAGGAAAGAACTGGAGAAAATTGTTGTGGTGTGCCGTGCGATTACCGGAGCCACTCGTAACAACCTCCAGCCTTTGTAGATGAAGGTCCTCTCGATGACGATCATCATTTTGGGCCCTCTGTGACTTGCAGATAGATTCAGACTGAAATTTGTTCGTGCTACAGTTTACTTAATCACATTTTGAATTTTTTCCCTTATGATTAATGGTGAAAGTGTAATGTTTTGATCTAGTATTGGGTTTCATGTATGTACTGTATGCATCTTGGACTGTAATTTCACAGCAGTGTACCGAGAAACAAAATATTATCCTAAGAATAATCTAATTTAACCATAAAAATTGCATAATATAATTATACTACATTTTCTTTGAATATTTGACCATGAAGTTGTAGTTACAAAGATACGGTGAAGGCTAAATGCCTTACTCTACAATAACTGTATTAGACTTCACCCTCCACTCGACCCTGAAATTCATAGGTGATTAAAAATATTAATGGATGGAGAAAACATTGCTAGGATCATAGCTGATTTCTTAGCTTTCTACAAGCTGTCTGTATATCTGGTTCTCTGAAGGAAATGTCTCAGCGTGTAATTTTGAATGTAGTTAGACTAAACGGCAACATAGCTGCAAGTAATTTAACAGGGGAGTTTGTAACTGTGTTGTGTTTTGTGTTTTTATAGCCTTTGCTGAAATTGCATTGGAGAAAATGGAAAAAAAAAAACGAGCAACAAAGTCTCAGAAGAAATACTGAAAGAAATGCTGTAAATGTCCACTGTGCGATGCGTACTGATAGGCGAGTTCCTTCTGTTTTCGGTGGAGCACATCCTGTACCTGAAAGATACTCGCATTGCTCAAAATGAGAACTCACTGTGATTTGTCCTCAGTAAGGCAGACCAAAACATAGCTAATGTGAGTCTATAAAAGTCTTGACACTTAGCAGCCAGCTTGGTGACAGCAGTTATTGTAAAGCCCGTATCTAAATGAACAGAGAGAGCCAAAACAAACTTCAGTGGTCACAGACACACTAAAAGCATTAGGTCTCCACTCAGATCGGATAAGAAACACTTTAAAAGTTTACCCACTTTCGTCCAGAATTTGGGCTTGTTTCCCCACGTTGTGCCTCTACTAGTTTAACAACACTGTGGCTTCATTACACTTTAATATAAAGAGGTCACGTGGTCATTGTGGCTCATCCCACAAAGGCAAAGGCCAAGTGAAATTCACATTATGGATACAGAGAACGAAGATGCAACATATGTAGGCTACACATAAATCTTTACTGATCTTTAGCGAGTGGATATGCCTCCTACTGATAGCGATGTGAACCTCTGTTGTCCACATCCATGTGTGACAACATTACTGGCTCAGATATTTCCTTGTTCACCCTCTTAAATGGTTCTTTAGGGGGGAAGCAGCGTGACAACCTACACCTTTAGTGTCCTCTTTTGCCAAGTTAGCTTCCAGAAGCTTGACAAAGTTTAACCAGTTTGTTAAGTAATTGTTACCACAGACTCAGCAACAAGACAAATGCTGGCTGTAATTGCCTTCTCCTGCTGAGTCTGTGACCCCTCGCCTGCATTTCCTTTAAGAGCCTGGCCTTTCACTTGGATATCATCTGCTGTCACATTTCCCGTGTTTGTTACTCGTGTTTTATCAGCCACTGGATGTGTCAAATTACTTCCTCGATGCTGATTCAAAGCGACGTCTCATTTATGTCGGCACTGAATGGCCATTTGTGATCGCTGTGGATGATTTGTCTGTTTGTGTTGGGAGGGTTGATGGTGACAGGGACCGACGTTTCCTTCCCACTTTTTTTTGGTTTTTCCCTCCTTTTGCTTTTTATTTCTCCCCCCTCTTTACACGAACACACCTCCCTCTTTTCTACATTTCTGCCTCTAAATGTCATCCCTCCTTCCTTCCTCCTCCCACTCATGTTCTTCTTTTTTTCCTAATGCCACAATCCCTTTTTGCTTCTTTTCTCTCATACCTCCCTGCCCTAATCCTTCTCTTCTGTCTTCTCCGTCCACTGTCTCCTTCCTTTTCCTTCCTAATTAAGCTCTCCTCTCTGTTTCCCCTCTAACTCTCAACCTCTCCTCCATGGTTTCCACTCTAATCCCTCATTTATCTTTTTTTTTCTTTTTTTACCCTATATCCCGCCTTCCTTCCTTCCTTTCTTCCTTCCTACCTCGGTCCTTGTTCTCCCTGACAACACATACTGCGTTATGTAATCTACGTCTCTGGGTATTAGTTATGCAAATTCATACATTTTTATTTATGTATATTTTTTCTCTCCTCCCTCCATCCCCTTCTTTTATCCTCCCCTACCTTGCTTCCTTCACTTCCTACACCTCCCTTCTTCTCTGCTCCTTCTTTATCTTTTTATCTTTTCTTTTCCCCATCAATCTCTCTTCCTTGCCATCCTCCCTTTTTCCCTCCAATTCTCTTTGCTTCTCTTCTCTTCTTTCCCAACCATTCCTCTGTTTTTCCCTTTCCCCTTCCCACTTTACTCTAAATAATCTTGTTTCCCTCCCTCTCCCCTCTCTTACCCGCTACTGCTCTCTCCCTCCATCCATCACTTCCTCTCCACATCCCTCCCTCCCATCCTTTTTTCCCCTCCCTCTTCTCCTCCAGCCACCAGCGGACTAGAGGCAGAGAGCGGCAGGCGCGGTGGCAGCAGCAGCAGCCACGGCGATGGAAACCACAGCAGCAGCAGCGGCGGCGGCGGAGGCAGCAGCAGCAGCGGCGGCACGGCCCACTTCAGGTCTCCATGGCAACAGAGCGTGAACGTGTTCGGCTCGTGGAGCAGGCCGGAGTGTGTCGAGGAGCTGCACCAGCAGGCGCAGCTCAACCTCCAGAGCCTACTGCAAGGTAAGGATGCATGGAGAGGAGGAGGAGAGGAGGGATTGGATGGATCGAGGGAATGTGTGCGTGTGTGTGTTGTGTTTTGAGTGGGTGGGAGAGGCATGGAGGAAGAAGCGAAGGTGGGTGGGAGACTGTTTACACGCGCGTGTGTGTATGTGTGGTGTTGGACTGCACTGATATGGGTGTGTGTCGGACACTTTAAACATGCATGTGTGTGTTTGCATGCAGATATGCCGTGCGGAAGGGTGTGCGAGTTAGATTCCCCCTCATATGTGGTGCTTATGTTGTGCTGTAGTGTGTGTGTGTGTGTGTGTGTGTGTGTGTGTGTGTGTGTGTGTGCGCGCGTGCTGGCTTAGAGTAGCACTGCTCATACGTGTTGGATTCACCTTGCAGGGTTGTTCTTAAGAGTAGTATTTTATCATTCAGTGTGTGTGTGTGTGTGTGTGTGTGTGTGTGTGTGTGTGTGTGTGTGTGTGTGTGTGTGTGTGTGTGTGTGTGTTGAAGGAATGATCACTACTGCAGAAACGGGCATGTTTACATTATAGTTGGCAGTCCATGTTTGTAACTCTGCCATGGTGTTATTTTTTTAAGGTGAATGCTGCCATCTTAATATTAATCTCTTGTTTACTGAAGAAACTGCTCTGGTTGTATACACTGTGCAACCTCTGTGTGTGCGCGCGTGTGTGTGTGTATGCAAATTAGCCCTCAGGGGAACAAGGTTTTCCATTTGTTCTCAGGTACTGTTTCTCTTCTGTCCCCTCCTGCCAGTTGCTTCTCCATCACTCTCTCTTTCTCTCTCTCCCTCTTGTTCTCGCTCTGTGACTCATACTGTCTCGCCCTTTGCCCGGCCCTTCCATTAAAACAATCAAAGTGGGTTGTTAGCTGAATGAACGAGGGGGGGGGGCTGAATGGCAGCGAGACAACCTTGAACACCTGAGAGAAGGAATGAATGAACAAGTGGGATCTTACAGCACATTTCATGTCTTTTCATTGTACTGATTTTTTTTGTTGCATTTGTTCTTAGTTAGTTGTCTAAAAATTTCCAGATTTGCCAACAAATCTATAACCAAAGCAAGCAAAGTAACTACATTTGAAATCCATCTCTCGGTACGCTTGCTTTTCTACCCATCTTTGGTCAATTTGCACTTGAGTCGAAGGCAAAGGACTTCTTTTTGGGTTCTTGAAAATGTTTTACTTTGCAGTGGAGAGGCTGCTTCTTCTAAAGCTGATGGGAAATCCTGTTTAACATTTAGTGGGCCTTTCACTAGACATCTCATAATGATCCTTGGAATAATCTCCATCAGGGTTTAAATACTCTTTACTTTTCCAAGGAAACTTTTCGGATGAGAGAAGAAGTCCAACTGCTTTCAGCTCACGCGCTTAAGACCACTGAAGACAGAAAGATATACCACTGTTATACATTATAGAGATAAATATTTTGGGCCAGGCCTCTTAATCTTTGAGTTCAGGTGATTTCACTTTCGTTGTCACAGATCTATAAAATCATGGTGTTGTAACAGGATGTGACAGGATGTGAAATGTCTTCTCTCTCTAAGAGATATTATTACATAGAGGAAGGTTTTAGGAACTTCAGCAGCTCTGACCACATAAAGGTACAGAGCATGGCTGCTGGGCGCTGAGGTGCATAGTGTGTAAAAGACACCAGTGTTCTGCTGACTCAGTAACTCCAGATCTCCAAACCTTCTCTGGCATTAGCATCAGCACAAAAACTGTACACAGGGAGCTTCGTGGTAATGGACTATCATGGCTCAGCAGCTCTTGCAGTACTTTGGTCGTTACGCTCTATGTCAGTTGTTGCAGATTTAACTTTATGAAGAGTAAGTAGTACATACAATGTGTTCAGAACTATTTTTCATTGTGGATTAATACACATTTGGCACTCCAGTGATTGCAGGGTACCATGCCATATGTAGTTAAGCTAAATTCCACTGTTACTGATCTCTGTTGGAATAGACTGGAGCCCTGGTACAGGCATTTGGTATATATGTTTTAGAAATCAAAAGCTTTGTATAACACACAAGAATAACTCAAACAAAAGCTTCATATTGAAAGAAAATTTACTGTCACAGTGGTGCATTCTGTTAAAAACCGAGGCAAATGTATACTGATGGATTCTGTGTTTTGCACATTCCCTAAACATAAAGTTACTGACCACGGAGAAATTAAAAGAAACAAGTAAGCATAACTCAAGTCAAAGTTTGTTATAAATATGCTATAGAAATAATCTCAGTTGGCCAATGTTCTCTGTATTATACAAAATATCCTATGCATAGCAGCCACTAAATTCACATTAAGAATAATCAGATAAAGTAGTACTGTACTATAAATAAGACTGTGTTTGCATAATAAAACCCAGATTACAGAGAATAAGTAGGTTTTTTAACACTGTTTTAAAATGACAGAGACTGGGAGCTTACATGAAAATGCCCAAAGATTAGGAGACGCCATTGAAAAAGTCCTGTCGCCTCTGCTTCTGCTTTTGAACCACACGTTGGTGCAACACTTGCTTCAAGAACAGCATTGGCAATGATTCTAAAGGTCTGAATAAATGGAAGACCATTAACCTGAAACCTAATCGCTTTTGAAGATCCCACAGTATTCCAGTGGGTTGAGGTCTCATAACTGCACTGCATATAATTAACATATTTATATATGTCCATTTCTTATATTTAAATCTGATAATTTACCATTATCTGGTCTAAGTACTCCCACTGAGATGGCCAATGTGTACTGCCCAGGATGTACTCTTTTGCCCTTTGACAGTGATGATAGGGCAAGCACACCCTCTTCCTCAGCACAACATCTCCACTGATCCAATCCACTAGCAACTCTAGGCAGAAAACAAGACTGGGTCTTACCTTTACTTTACATAAACCTCACTGCAGACAACTCTAAAGCTGACCCAGCTGCTACAACCTGACATTAGAATAGCTGCATCGCAAGAAAAGGAACTGGTTACCCCGGTAACCGTCAGACTTGGTCATAGTGTGAGCTTCTTCTTTTAAGGTAGGATTGTCCAACAGACTGTAGAGGCAAGGAGGTAATAGAAGCTCCTGGTCTAGTGTCTCCTCCAAGTTTCCCTTCCTCGTGTTTCTCCATATAGTTTCCATAATCAGCTGTCCCACCCATAGTTCCACCATGCAGCTGCTAAAAGGCCCACAGCATCATGCTCCTTGGTTTAGGTTTGGCTTTCCAAACCTTTTGTCACATTGCTCACTCAGATCAGTTATCCTTTATTTAGTCTGGCATGGTGTAATTAGACAACTATAGGATCTAAATAAACATGCAAGATACACATTGAACCCAAATATTCCGCCTTGTGACTTTGAGGCTAGAAATCACTCAGTATGTTAAAGGCATCCGCGAAATTCTGGCAAGTTCTCATTTTACTATCTGGTTAAAGTTCTTAATACATAAAAAAAGTTATGGTACACATTTACGTTAAACGTTAAACATAATGAGTCATTCATTATCAATTAAGCCACAGTTTTTCCACTTTTTGTCTCTCCTGCTGTCTGCTAGTGCGACTGCTGCCATTACAACGAAATTATACTTTAGCGAGGCGAAAAAAACTAGCCGTGCTTTCATGTGGTAGCAGTTCGGACCACAGCTCTCACAATGTGAGCGATTCTTAATTTGCAACACAAACTGGAACAAAACACAGGGAATGTGCAAAACTTACGTTTACTCTGTAATTTTCACACTTTTGTGAGTCTACAGTGAGTTTCTGGCTCCACAGACAGCATGTTCGACACCCCCTGCTGTAAGTGACAAGTCCTCCCAGACTTCAGCAACAAAACGTCTCCTGTAGTTTAAGAGAACCACCAAATCCCTTTACTGTAGAGTTCAGGTTTTATCTATTAGTCTTATGTCATTCCCAGCCATCTGTGGCCATCTAGCTAATGGCTTGTCCTGCTGTCATCTATTTCCTTAACAGCCTGTCTAACTTAAGGTCAAGAGGGCTGGAGCCTAGCCTGGCTGTCATACAGTGAGACAAAGATGTGTACCACCACTATATACCATTGAAAGAAACTAAAGGACAATACTAAGATCTATAGTGTATACATGTAAGCATGTATTTTCATGCATTCTGGCTTTTTACTCTATTTGAACAGTTCTGTGAGACCTGTCCAGAGTCCTTAGCCTCAGCATCCCACAATCCCCTCTGTTTGACCTGTAGGTAACTTATCCTCATTCACCATACCCAGAGACCTTCAAACTTAGATCTCAATAGCTTTAACCATCACCAGAAAGAACAATTTTATTAACTGGAAAAAGAGAACAAAATCATCAATAAATCAGTAGCTCGATTTTCCAACAGATCATGCAAATTTAGAAAAATTTACTTCATGTATTTGGAACAAAAACAAGCAAAAATAACATAAAGACTGCCCATCGTGAGTCTTACAAACAACTCACCTCTTCACTGTACTATTTCTATTTGTTTGTTTGACCACTGCTTGATCCACTGACCCCCCTGTGGTCCCTCATATGGGTCAGCTTTTTTGTGCAAAGTCCTCCACTGGAGGACGGACCCAATTAACTTCTTTGGCCTAAGCCAGGCTGGGCCCCATGGGCTACGGCCTCCACCCCAGTCCTGGCTGCATGGTAGGACCCCGTAACCCTGTCTCAGCCAGGTTACACTGGATGCTTGTTTTTTTTCCCTTAACACAGGGGGTCTTTGAGTCACTTTTTCTGGTCCTTTCTGGACTAATTTGCATTGGAAGATCCTACCAAAGTTTAATTGGCCCTGACAACATAACTCCTGGGATCACCAATACACATAAACCCCTCCATCGAGATAAGGTATCGATTCATGTGGTGGGTGGGCAGTAAGGAGCTTGGACATTTCAAGAGGGACTCGGTGTAGAGCCACTACTCCTCCACATCAAAAGGAGTCAGTTGAGGTTCTTAGGGCATCTGACTTGGATTCCTTCTGGACACCTGCTAGGTGAGGTATTCTGTGCATGTCCTAGGAGGTCCCA